GCCTGTCCCCAGCCCGGCTCTTAGTTCTGCCCCTGCCCAGCCCCCACCTCTGCCCCTCCTGCAGCCCCAAGGGGTGTTTTCCTTACCCCTCCCATCCTTGGGACTGGAGGGAGGAAGGAGGAGGAGCTTTCAGACATCATAGAAATGAGGAGGCAGGGGCTGGGCAGAGCGGAGTCCAGGGTCACAGAGACTGGGGTGTGTGATGTTAGAGAGGATAATTTCAGGGGCAGAGTTGGAGCTGGGATTCCAGCCACCACACCCAGAGCCAGGGTCGGATTCTCTCCCCAGGGAGGGACCCCGGTGGGAAAGTGAAGATCGGGGCTTCGATACCAGCATCAATAAATGTCACCTGCCCCCGGTCACAGTCCAGACAAATCCGGATCCTGCGGGGGGGGCTCAGGTTTAGAGGGCTTACCGGGGGGGTGAGAGCCCAGAACTGAGCCCCCCTTTTCTGCACAGCCCAGATCCCCCCCTCAGGGCTAAGGCTGATTCGTCCCTTCCTGTTCACAGACTCTCTGGCCACCCCTACAGCCCAGTATTGCCCACCCCCCACCTCCACCTCCCAGCAATGTCTCCCTGAAGTGAATCCCTCACGGCCTAGCACACAGGGCACAGAGTCAAATCTCCCCGGGTTGCCGGGCAGTCGCTGCCATGCACGTTCCCATCTCACACATTTCTGATCCCCAGACAGGACTAGCTGGGGATTTGCCGTGTCTGGATCCAGAGTCACCGTCACTGGGGAGAGAGAATCAGCGTGAGGGGCACAGCTCAGCCCTGTTCTCACCCTCCCCAGCAGCCCTGTTGTGGCTGGGACAGGCCTGGGCCCCAGGGAGCTGCCCCTGCCCTGGGCCCTGAGACTGAGCTGAGCTGTCACTGCAGCGCCTCAGCCTGGGCAATGGGACCCGCTTAATCAGCATCTCATTTGTGTGCAGAGGCTGCAGCCTCCTGCCCCCCAGCTCTGGCTGCTCCATCCCCAGGGCCAGGCCCAGAGCAGGAGGGTTTGGGGGGGGAGGGAGCAGAGGAGGCAGGTTCCAGCTTTAACCCCCAGAGGGAAACTCCCTCCCCTGCTGCAGCCTCCACCCCCCGCCCAGGGCACAGAGGGGAGGGGGCAGCGCGGGGGAAGAGCCGCCTCACCCCAGAGAGCAGGGCCTGGGCATTAGTCACCCCAGG